CACGTACTGGCCTGTCCGCGAAGTAGGTGCCCAGCGTCGTGGACCGAGAAGGCTAGAAAAAAATGTCCTTGGCTTCGGCATCGTAGTGCTGCTTCGATCACGACAAAGCTCCCGGAGTGTGACAGCGAACAACCCACTTGCTCCGCTCCTGCGGCTTGTGCTGTCTGAGGCGACAACGACCGCATGCCCCGCAACCGGGCCGACCTAGGCTCTCGTCCGAGCAGGCGGCGAGTCAGTCGGAGATATTTCTTACGGTGTTCCTAGGATTTGCAAGACGGCTTCCCGACGCAGACGCGGACCCCTTCAAGGAGCTTCCGTTCTGCGGTCCGCGCCTTATTCGAGAGACGTGGTTGCCTGTCCGCGAGTTAGACGTGCTACCCATCGCCTTGCCGGGAACTGCAATTCTACTGCGCCCGTCGCAGGGTCTCGGCTCCATGGCCAGGCCAAGCCGAGCTAGTATGTGAAAGGAGAAATAGCTTCGTAAATCACCGAGCACTTGCCGAGAAGTGTAGGGAACTGGAACCCGAAAGAATCTTTTGGTAGCAGCTCATTTGTTGATGGGGCCAGTTACTAGCACCAGTGCCAGGGGGCTGGACAGTTTTGCGCAGGGCAACATTCACCATGCCGAGGAGCCGTCGCCGGGGCAGTTCGTCCTTGACGCCGCCGCCGCGGTGGCGTCATTATTCCAGAAGCAGAACACCCGTGAATGGTTACGTTTTGTCCGGCTGGGAGGACGAGGGCACGAGACGAGTCGTGGAAACCCAGCAGCCGTGCTCGCCACGGAAGCGACCCATTTTGATCGATCATGTGCTGAATACTGCTTTTCGTCGTCCCACCGGGAGGCCGCAGCTCCCGTGGCAACCAGTGCGACGGCGAATCACCCGCCTTGACCGCCATGACATGAACCCACAAAAAGGTGCAGCGTTCCTACAGTATCTGGTGGATTTGAATCATGGTCGCTTTTGGCTTCACACGACTCACGAGCTGCTCACCGTGGTCTGCCTTTGCAATTTTCGGACAACTTGCCGTCGTGCTCGCAGATGCTGGGTCATGTGTCAACCGGAGCTGGTCAGGAGATGGTTGCGGCACTGCCTCAGGACATTGGTTCGTACTCACCAAAATTACGATTATGTTCGGCGCCTGGAAACGGACCACGGCTACAGCGTCATCCCGGGCACTGTCGTCCCGGCAAGTCGTCGCCAATACTTCCACCGGAACGAGCACTGGTCACTGACCCGTCCGACCCATCAGATTGGGTATCGTCCCAGGACGCGCGGTCGGCGCACCCTGCGTGCGGTTCGCGACCAGGAAGAGCCCGACACGGATCCTGACAGTGTGGATGAAAGAGATGGACGGCCGATCTTCGTGGAGGACCAGGAAGAGCACGGACCGGGACGGAGCAGGCCCTAAAGGAACGAGAGAACGTTCCACTTTCGCCTACCGAGACTCAATAGCCTGCTACATCGGATGAAAAAAAAAATCCTCGGTTGCAGTCCGTAATGCCCCGAGTCTGCTGAGGATCGAAGAAGTCGCTCCGCCTCTTCTGCTGTTCTCTGCCGAGACCAACGAAATTCTCGACCAGGCGGGGAAGCTACTCGTGCCTGCTTCGAACAAACGCGACCGGGACTCGCAGGCATCGGCAGGAGCTAGGCCAAGCCGAAGTCGAATGCGGCGGCAGCGCCTTCATCCGGCCGTCGAATTGCCTGCAGGTGCGGTCCGGCCACTCCGGTTCGATAAATTTCCTCGGTTGGAGCTGGACGGTTCTGCAGGGGCCGGCCCGTCCTCGGATGAATTTGGTTTTGCTCAGGAGCTCGGTGTTAGTTTGCAAACTACGGAGTTAGCTGCCCCCGACTCAGATTTAACTCTGGTTGACGGGGACACCACTTCCGAGTTTTGCACGACGAGCGCAGGGTCTCGGCTCCATGGCCAGCCCAAGCCGCAGTCCAACCGATCCGAGTCGCTGGACATGCTTCGATGCGGGGCCAGAAACCAGCGTCCAAACGGGCCGACCGTCAATGGTTACGTTTTGTCCGGCTGGGAGGAAGAGGGCAACAGACCAGTCGCGGAAGCCCAGCAACCGTGCAAGCCACGGAAGCGCCCTACATTGATCGATGATGTGTTGGAAAAGAAATTACCTCCTCGTCCCGTCCGGAGGCAGCAGCTCCCGTGGCAACCGGTGCGACGGCGAATCGCTCGCCTTGACCGGCATGATATGAGCCCACAAGTGGGCGCGATCTTCCTACACGATCTGGTCGACGCGCATCACGGTCGCTTTTGGCTTCACGTGACTCACGAGCTGCTCACCGTGGTCGGCCTTTGCAATTTTCGGACAACTTGCCGTCGTGCTCGCAGATGCTGGGTCATGAGTCAACCGGAGCTGGTCAGGAGATGGTTGCGGCACTGCCTCAGGACGTTGGTTCACACTCGGAATAATATCAAGTATGTTCAGCGGCTGGAAAGATGCAACAGCTACTGTGTACTCCCGAGCTTATGGGACATAATACAAGAGAACGGGGTCTCACAGTACGATCGACATTTTGTCGAGGCAAATCGTCGCAACACCTATTTCCACCGGAACAAGCACCGGCACATGACCCCCCCCGCTTGTCCGACTCAGTAGCCTGCTGAATTGAAAAATCCTTGGTTGCAGCCGTACTGCCCCGAGTCTGGTCGGGATCGAACAAGTCGCTCCGCCTCTTCTGCTGTTCTGTTCCGAGGCCAACGAGGTTCTCGACCAGGCAGGGAAGCTACTTGTGCCTGCTTCGAACAAACGCGAACTTGGACGAGCGCAGAAGGAGGATCTTGGCCGCTTGCACATCCAGCCAGGGCGGGGAACCCAGCGGAAGCGCCGGCTCCAGTTCCGTTGGTTTCGCGAGATGCAGGCAAGAGCGGAAGGATCGCAGGGTCTCGGCTCTCTAGCCAGACCAAGCCGATGTTGACCCGAACAAGCACAGTCTCCCGGCCGTCGAATTCCCTTCTGATAGTGGTACTCGGAACAACCTCGCGCCATGGTAGTCCCCACAACGAAATATAGCGAGTCGCCGGAGCGGCAAACTTCCGATCCTGGCCATGTCGTCCCCTCGCAGCACCTTGTGGCAAGCTATATTGTTCGCAGAACATGCAGAGAGGCACAGGTGGTCTTGGTCGGAAGCATACCATCTGGATGCTGCGACATGCACGCGAGATGATCAGAGGGAACGGTTCAAGAACATGTCTCTCGTCTTGCATCCGGACAAGGCCCGGCAGCACTTCCATCGCTTCGAGGCAGAGACTAACGTCCAAAGACGAGTGACGCACGCCTTCCAGTACATGCTCCACCTGAGAGACGAGGGTCTTCGTGCCATCGATGAACGAACGCGTCCTCGGCCGACGCGCGACGGGGACCTGCGACCGCCCGAACCACCCCCCCAAGGCGGAGGGTATGCCTGCGGAGCGTCCTCCGGAGCGTACCCCGGCGCCGCAGGGTCCGGCTCGCGCTTCCACGCCGGCGGCCGCGGATCCGGCGGCACAGCGAGCAGGCCGGCCGCTCCTCCTCCCTACACCGCGTACGTCCCTGCGGGAGTCCCGGCATGCATACTGCCTGCCGACGCTCCGAAGCATACCATGGATATCTACCTCCCGAACAGCGACGAGTGGATCTTTGTGCTGGTGTGCGTGTATTGTAAGAAGATCCAGATCACGGGAGCCGGCAAAGGCAACTTCCCGGTAAAGTGGGCCAACGACCACGGATGGTTCAAAAAGGAAGGAAAAAACTGGAAGAACTCCTGTTCCTGCCCCGATTGCGTCTCGTGGTAGAACACAGGAAAGCAACATGCCCTTGCGCGAGTGTGTATTCTTGTCCAATCTCAGCAATTGGCCTGATAAATTCCTCTTGGCTCCCGATGCAGAGCATTTTTTGCAGCGACCGAAGTGCAAAGCATCTTCTGCGTCATCCCTCCATCACACCACACCGTCTCAAATACCGGAGCGGCAGAAAACGAAGGATCGCCCTTTGCTTTTCCCGACTTGAAAGCTACGGTCGTCTTGCGAGGGCGTCCTGTGTGATTAGCGACACGTCCTGCGCTCGACTTCAAAATCGAGACTTTGTTTCGGCCTGCAAGGCAGCGACCGACCTTTCTCCGTCTTTGGGCCGGGAGGACCAGCTTCGAGCAGCCGCGGCCCCGGGCGAGCTGAGTGTTTCTGCTTGAGAAGCTAAGCCGGAAAGTTGCTTTTCTGACTATTTCACGAATGTGATCATGTTGTCTTTGATTTATAGTCGCTAACACAGCGACGCAAAACTGCCAAAGTACTTTTGTGCTCTCACGTCGAACATTTTGCATGTTGTGAGGCATTGACTTTCTTCCTCACGTTGAGCTGTCATGCTGTGTGAGTTGGCGATCTCGAGGAGCGAATGATTCATTTTGGAAAAGTAGTCGGCGTCCTTTTTAGGTATTTGAACTGCTTTTAATTTGATGGAAGTTTGACTGTCTCGTGCATCTGTCGGTGTATCCAACTTCTGATGATTGATTCAAGCCGGCAGTTGTGGCTCCGGAGACAGCTGCAACATTGAACGTTTTGGGACTCCTCTAGGGGCTTGTAACGGCGTCCTAGCAGGTCTCAGGCTCCCTAAAGTGCTGGCTTTAGGCTGTCACGACTCCCCGCTATAAGTGCGGGGCGTCAGATGGACTTTGGCGACGCGCTCGCCGAAGGGTCGTCTCATCGATCCGAGGACAGCTCCACTAGCACTCGCGAGCTTCACAGTCAGCATATTCACGATCTCCAATTGGAGGTCAACTCCCTGAGGCTTCAGGTGCAAGCACTCAGGTCCGATCTACAGAATCTACAGACTTTGGAGGAGTCCCTTGCGCGCGCCTGGGTGAACCAGACGGGGCATCACCAACGCCTCTCGTGGATCGAGAGGCTCATCCAGGACTTGCGCAACGCCTGCAGGGCCTTTCTTGAACCGCGAGAGCAGTCTGCTTGAGAGGCCGTGTGTGCCATAGGTGGGCTTGTTAAGATAGATGGCTACGTCAGGTAATCCGGCCTTGGCCTCTTCTTCACAGGGGAGTTTGGGAGGTCCAGCCGGATCTTCAGGTGCTGCCGCCTCGCAGGACCAGACTGCATCGTTTTTGCAGTCTCCCGACACCTTCTTCAGCAAGTTGGCTAAAGCCGAAGAGGATTTCCCGGCTTTGGATGCAAGAGCAGTGCTCATCAGGAATTTCTCTTGGAATGAGACGCTTAAGGATAATAGGGCTTCAGTGATTCTCCTCCCTTGGGAGAGGGGGCCCTTTGCCTGGGTCTTTGGTCATCCTAGCAAGCGTCCCCGCATTCCGATGCCCTACGATCATGAACCCGTGCGGCAATCCGGCGCCCCGAGTGCTGTGCCTGCGCTGAAGCAAGTGCCTGACTTTGCAAAGAAACGCCTCCAAATTGTCGCCATGATGAAAACCTCGGACTCCGCCAGGTGGGAGGCTCTTCGTAAGTTCAGGGTTCTCGTCATGCTCGAGCCTGGTGTCACCGAGCTAGGATGCATTCTTTTGGCCGAAGCTTCCTTGCTCAAGGAAGACCAACAAATTGCAAGAACTTTCGGTGATGTTTTCAGTGGGAAAGCCACTTCCACCCTAGTGAAGAGGGCCTCCGCTTTGTGGTCTTTCGCCAAGTGGACCCTTGATTCAGGGTATGGCAATCCTTTCACCGCCGGAGAAAGGATCCTGTATCTGTACTTACAGGAGCTCGAAGCGAATGCGCGGCCTACCTCGGGATCTTCTTTTCTCCAGGCCTGGAATTTTGCGGCGGGAACCTTGCAATTTAAGGATCAGGCAGCGCTGCGAGCCGTTTCTTCTCGTGTGAAGGGCTTGGCTCTCAAGATGTACCAAGGCAAGCGTCGCTTGCAGCAGGCAATCCCTTTAACTGTGAAACAGGTCAAGGCCTTAGAGTACGTGGTGATTCATGCGCCGTACTGCCATTGGAAAGTCATTGCTGGGCACCTGTTGTTTTGCCTCGGTGCTAGTGCCAGGTTCGGCGATTCGCTTTGGCTGGGAAGCCTTAATGTGTCCTCCCACCAGGGCCTGTGCTTGGTTGAAGCCGAGAGCTCCCACTGGAAAACCGCACCCGTGGCATCGCGCAAGTCTCAGCTGTTGCCCATGTGTTCGCTGGGAAAATTCTTTGCTGACAGCAACTGGGCTGACTTGTGGATGAAGGCTAGGGAGGACTCTTCTCTGGGTTTGCATCCGGCTCTCCCTGCATGGTCTGAGAGCGCCAACTGTTGGCTGGACAGGCCGATGAGCACCGGGGAAGCATGCTGCTACCTTAAAGAATTCCTGACCGCGGCCGGTCAGAAGATCGATGGCATTGGTACTCACAGCTTGAAGTGCACGGTTTTATCCTGGGCTGCGAAAAGCACGACCGTCCCTCTGTCCGACCGCCGCCTCCTAGGGCATCACGTGGACCCAGCTGTGATGTCTCCCTTGACTTATGCCCGAGACGAACTCACTCGTCTCATGAAGGTCGTGCACGACTTGATAGTGCTCATACGGAAAGGAGCGCTCAAGCCTGACGAGTCCAGGGTGTGGCGCCTGGCTCAGCTCATCAAGAATTCAGATGGTTCCGAGGCCCTCCTCGAGCGCGTTTGCGCTGATGCTCCAGATATGTTGGAATCTGAAGCCGAAGATGAGGACATAGCCGAAGCCGATCTTCAGAAGGAGGCGTCAGGTTTGACTTTGGGCAGGACCATGACGGCGGCAGAGCTTGATGCTGCCAAGGACTGTAAGATGCATGTCCATTCCAGAGTCGTGCACATTTTGAGTGGGGCCCGATTTTTGTGTGGCCGCAATGATTCGGCAAATTATAGCAGGCTCGACCCGGATATCCCTTTGAGCGACCTGCCTGTATGTGGACAGTGCGCTAAGGCTTCAATGGCGGCGTGAAATATCTGCCCGAGCTTCCGCTTTTCAGGGTGAGGTCGTTGAGCTACAGCTGTACCTCTACCTTTACAGGGTTGCCGTCGATCAACTCAAGCTGGGGCCGTTGAGCTGCGGCTGTGCCCTGGCTTCAAGGGTCGGTTCAGGCTGCCGTTGAGCCCTATGGCTGAGCAGTCTTTTCCTCACCAAGGTGTTGTTTCCGCTGGGATGTCGACTTGAGAATGGGCCGTTGAGCTTCGGCTGTGCCCGGGTTGTGGTGCGTCAACAGTGTACTGCCGTTGAGCCATCTGGCTGTGCAATGATTCCCGCTTCCTTTCGAGCTGTTTGTCTTCCTGAAGGGGTTGTCGACTTGAGAATGGGCCGTTGAGCTTCGGCTGTGCCCGGGTTGGTACTTCAACAGTGTACTGCCGTCGGGCCTTCAGGCTGTGCAGTGTTTTCCGCATCCTTCGTGTGAGAGTGCCTGCCTGAGAATTTTCTTCGTGAGTGCTGCAACTTTGGCCTCAAGCCCGCTTAGGAGCCATGAATTCCACCTTGGACTCCGCTGCTGCATTTCATGCACGTGCACTTGAGATAGGTTTGACTGCTGAGTTTCTCAAGCTGCTGGAAGACGGAGGAGTCACAACGATGGGCACGCTAGCCTTTATCTCACCTTTCCAGGTGGGCCACTCAGACGAGAAGCCTCTGATCGATGCCCTCAAGACAGTCGTGAAGCGTGATCTCACGCAGAAGGAGCTCTTCGTGACAAGGCGGCTGTGGTACGAGGCCTCTACCACGGCAATGGGAGAGCTCAAACAGAAGGTGGAAAGGAACGACTCAGCAGAACCAATCCGCTTGGCTGTCGCTGAGAGGACTACGCGAATCGAGGAACAACGCAAGCGCCTCAACGGGGTGCACTTCTCCAGTGACAGCGAGCCGAGCTATCGCGTCACAGATCTCGTGTTTCAGCAAGGCACCGACCAACAGCTCATCTGGCTTCCTTGGGAGAAATACACCAGCAGGGCACAAGAGATCGTTTCGAGCAAATCCGACTTATCCATCAGCTTTGACAATGGTGGAAACCTGCGCTTGAACAAGAAGTTTCAGGATGCCCAGTGTTCTTTGACTGGCGAGTTGCAGGTGCGTCAGGCGCTCCAGCGCAGATCCTTGTGTTACGATCTTGCGCAACTCTGCTCCTATTCAGTCATGGAAGCCTACCACGAAGAGATGTTCTCTCTTCTCTCACGCCCACCAGTGCCGGGTCGCATGTGCATCACCATGGGCCAAGTCAAGGAGGCTGACAAGGTTCTTTTCCTCAAAATTGCAGAAGAAACCAGAGGTGCCCTTAGCGTGCGGCCTGACGGCTCCAAGCCGATGGAGCTCCAGCTTCTTGCCCTTAAAGCTCACCCCCAGGTGCAGTTCTGTGTGATCCCCGGAGCCGCGCCTTCTGCAACTCCGTACAGGGTTGAGCCTTACGAAACCTGGGTTCCGGGAGGCAAAGGCAGAGGCAAGAAAGGTAAGACAGGCAAAGGTAAGGATGGGAAGGGCAAGACCGGCGGCAAGCAGAATCAGGGTTCAGAGGTGCCGCCGCCTCCTGCTGCCTATGTGTTGCCCGATGGCTGTTCCAGCAAGGATTCCGAAGGTGTTCCGATTTGTTTCCCATATAACAAGGATGGTTGCAAATTTGCTAAGGACGGCAAGCGTTGCCGCCGTGGCAGACACATCTGCTGGAAGTGCTTCAAGCCCCACTCTTACACCGCGTGCACCAAGGGCGGCGCCTGATTGCCTTTGACCTCACCGCCCTCGCGAGTGACGCTGCCAGCCGAGTGCGAGGGCCCGCCGTTGCAGACGGGGGATTTCTGCGGTCCCTGTTTTCCGATCGAGGCTTCAGAGAACTCCAGTTCTTCGGCTTACAGGCATAACGATGCCGTGCAACGGATTCTTTCAATTTTCCACAGTGTCCCAGGTGACCCGCTCCCAGAGGGCAAGCAGGCCGCCGAAGGCCGCTGCTTCACAACAGGCTCTTTCGTTAGGGGGTCCTTAGTCGGGTTGAGGGCAAATAGCCGTTTGCATCCCGAGTTCACAAGGATTCTGTGTGAGTTTGTCAACGCCGAAGCACACCCGGAGTTTATGTACAGCACCATTGCCATTTTCGAGGAACTTCCCGTAGGCCGTCACAGAGACGCCAACAACCTTCAGAATTCACTTAATTTTGTTTACCCGCTTACGCAATTTTCAGGAGGCCAGGTTCGCTGCTATCCACTTGACGCGCCGTCACCAAGGGTCCTTTCCTTCGAAGGGGGCCCAATTTACTTCGATGCCAGGTCATGCGAGCATGACGTGTGTCAGTGGAGCGGCCACCGCACCGTGTTGGTTGCTTTCAGCACTCGTGGTGTAGGCGACCTGCCTGCCAAGGAACGCAGCTTCTTGTGCAGTCTCGGCTTCAGGCTGCCCGTTCCAGGTTTTACCAATATGCACTTGCAATCCGACTTCGACTGGGAGCCGGACCCAGATGCGGCCCAGTCCGCCGCAGCTGCTGCACAGCAAGTGCCATCAATAGTCGGCATTTTGCCGCCCCCCCCACAGCTGCCGCTGCCTTCACCTTCGCCCCGTAATCCGAGCGAGCCCTCAGTCTCGCCTGCACCATGTGACGCACAATCCTTAGATGCCTCGACCGCCGGTGCCACACCTGCTTTCCCGCCCGCCCCTCCTGCATCTGCTGCCAGCCGGGGTCAGCCGACTCCTCTGTTCGTCGAGGTTTTCGCTGGGTGTGCCAGGCTGTCTTCTACCTTTGCCGCCGCAGGTTTTCAGGTGCTCAGCATTCGCCTCTGCATCAGGTGTGGACTCTCGATCTGACCATTCGGCATTGTCAGGACGCGCTTGTCAAGCGTCTCCTGTGCTCACCCGTGTTTCTGGTGCACATTGCGCTGCCTTGCGGCACTGGCTCCCGGGCACGGGAGCGCCCTTTGCCAGCACACCTCTTGGCGGCTGGGGCGCCTCAGCCACAACCTTTGCGTTCCAGTCAACACGTGCTTGGCCTGCCGGATCTCTGCCCCAGCGATCAGGCCCGCGTGACTTCAGCTAATCTTCTTTCAGAGTTCACGATTAGGCTGCTTGCATTGTGCCATGAACGAGGCTGGCATGTCTCCATCGAGAATCCGGTCAGGAGCTGGATGTGGTCTGTGCTGGCCCACTTCACTCGCCAGCTCAAATCCCCGGCCTTAGCCTCCTTCTTCAACGACCTTCACACTGTCGATTACGCCCAATGCATGCTTGGGGGCGCTAGGGATAAGGTTTCTCGACTGCTCACCTCGATGCAAGCCTTGTGCCCACTGGCTTGTGAGTGCGATAAAAAGCATGCTCACTTGCCCTTTGCAGTAGCTCGTGCAGCAGGCCGCTGGACCTTCGCTACAGCTTCCGAGGCCGAGTATCCTCCCCAGTTGTGTGATGCTTTCTGTCGTCTTGCGAGTAATTCTCTGCCCTCGTGTCCCACGCCCCTGCCTCGGCCCACGGTGCGGCAGTCTCGCCGCGCACCGCAGTTAATCCCCGAATTTAAGGAGTTCCGGGATTCTAGGCCCACCCAGGGTGAGTTTCGCGAGCTTGTACGTGACGGGGGCAGCGACGGAAGCTGCTCAACTTTCGGCATCTTTCACACAAAGCAGGAGTTCACCCACAAGGCCCTTAAGCTTGATCATCCCTTCGACGACGCAGCAGCGATCGACGACAGCACGAGAAGAAACATTTTCGATCTTCTTACCAAAGGCCTTTCGTCTGTTGCTCAGAAACGCATCAATGCCATAAAGAAGGTGAATCAGATGGCGAAGGAGCTCTCAGTGGAGGAAGCAAGGTTTCAAACTTCGTTACCACAGCATGCTCAGGAGGTCTTGAAAGGCAAACGCATACTGCTGTGGAGAAAGCTGTTGCAAGAAACTGGTTTCCCAGATGTTTCGGTCAGTGAGCTCATGGAGGGCGTCGACCTAGTCGGCAAACCGACCAAGTCGCCTCTGTTCGAGTGGAAAGAGGTCCCCGCGACTTCTTCAGTGCAAGATCTCCTGGACTCATCTGTTTGGCGTAATCACGCGCTTCAGAAGTCGCCTGATGTCGGCGACTCGGGCGATCTTACGAGCAAGCTTTGGGAATGCACTATGCAGGAGGTTGATAAGGGTTTTCTCAAAGGGCCATTCCAGTCGGAAGAACAAGTTCGGGCAGCGCTTGGTGAAGAAGCCGTCTGCTGCACCCGAAGGTTCCTTGTCGTCCAAGGTAGTGCGGAGAATCCGAAGTTCCGGCCCATTGATGATTTTCGAGAAAGTGGCATCAACGAAGCCTCTCGGCCCGAGACTGTTTTTGCTGCGAGTGGTGGGCTGGGGCGGGGTAGCGGTAGCCGTAGCTTCGCATGGTTTCCAGCAGCCGTCGTTGCCTCTGTCTTTTGCAATTGCCACTTTTCATGGGTATTCTTTTCATGCTTTTCACGATTTTCTCACTATTTGGCATGCTTTCTGGCAATTTACATGTTCAGAGTTCAGCAGATGCAGCAAACCTACAGCATGATCTCGATGTGGCCGCAGCGGTCCCAAGTCCGCTGGCTGTGAAGTCTGGGTCTCATCAGGGTGCTCCAGACAGCAGAGGTGAGGGTTCAGAGGCGAAGCACACGTCTTTGAGGAGCAGCACACATCGTGATGACAACAAGACGCCCGATGCTGCGAAATTTTGTGCTAAAGGCCAGAACAGCTACAGTTTTTCCCGAAAGAGAGCATACAAACGAGCATTGGCAAGAGCAGGTCGGGATGGCTTTGCTCGCTATCGTGGTCGTATCATGCAAGCTCATGAGCTCAGAGCCCAGTATCTACCCAACCGCGGACAGCATGAACAGAGGCCCCTCGTTGATTCCGGCACTCGTTCCCAGGCTTCAGCTGCGATCACGGTGATAAACTGGAACTGCGGAGGGTTCTCGACCTTAAAGGACGAGTTCTACACGTGGTTGCGCGGTTGTGATTGCGATGTTGTCTGCCTCCAAGAGACATGGATGAAGGAGTGTTCGGAGTTCTTTGCGGGGGACTGGCTTTGCGTTCAGAGCGGCATGAACGCTACGAGCTCGCGGGCGCAGGCTGGGGTTATGATCATGCTGAGACGGTCGGTCTTTGATAATGGTTCGGTACGCTACTCCCACGTGATGGAAGGACGACTTCTCCACGTACGGGCACAACATAAGCATGGCTGGGTGGACGTGGTAGGTGCCTATCTGCATGCATGGGGTGGCTGGAGCAATGAAGCGGACATCTTAGCCAAACGATCGAAGGTGTGGGCAGCGCTCCGCCAAACCTTGGGGCAGCTACCCCGAGGCAATCAACTTGTGGTATGTGGAGATTTTAATACCGTGGTGCAGCCTAAAGCCCCGTTCTTTGGCACAGGTATGAGTTCGAACAACCCGACCCCGTCGGCGGATGCACAGGACTTCGAGGCCATCCTCCACGACTTCGGCTTGCAGGCAGTGAACACCTTCGGTAAGCAGGGCAGCTACACACACATACTTGAACATCACTCGCAGAAAACCCGCTCCTTCCTGGACTACGTGCTGGTGCGACGCAAAGGCCCTACGCTCAGCTCATCGGCGCGTATGCTCGTGACCTTTCCGGTGGCTCGCTGGAGAGGTGGTGGCAGGCATCTACCCGTGCTTGTAACAGTGCGTTTCCGCCGATTCCAATTCGCTCGGCCGCGACCCCAGCCCGCTTGGCCGCAGTGGAAGTGTAAGCTCCTAGCCGACAGGATCGCAGCAGATGGGCCAGATGTTCAGGACTTCAAGGCACAAGTCTCCAGGGAGCTCCAAGCTATGCATGACTTCTGCCCTGATCGTGTGAATCAAGTTCTCATGAAGGCGAGCAGGGATCATTTCCACATTGTGAGACCGAGTGGGCTACACCCACCATGGCAAGATGCACAGCATGAAGGGTCCATCAGGGAAATGTGGTTGCAGTACAGGTTGGCCCGACAACAATTTCAGAAATGTGCTTCAGGTCTTCGAGCTTGCTTTCGGGCTTGGCGGTGCAGAGCCCGGTTTCACCAGCTGCACCAAATCGTACGTCGTAACAGCCGGCTCCTTCGCAGACATCGCTTTGATGAACTTCTACGGCATGCGGAGGCACAGGATCACCATGGACGTATCGATCATCTCTTCTTTCTGCTGCGCAGGCACGTGCCCAAGCAACCGAAGGCCAGAGCTCAGCTCCGTTCGAGTACGGGGGCGATTCTTATGCCTCAGGCCGAAGTCCAGGCACTCGCATCGTACTGGAAAGAGGTCACAACGGCCGAAGACCCAGTGCAGGCACCGTCTGCCACGACGTTTGACCTCGAAATGGATGCTGTGCAACAGGCCCTTGCAAGCCTGCCATCGAACAAAGCTGCACCGGCACATTACGCACCTCATGCACTTTGGAGCTGTGTCGCAGAGCCGGTGTCGCAGGTCCTGGAACGAGGACTTCTTCAGGAATGGCGCTCTAGCGGCGCTCACATACCCACTGCCTGGGCCGATGCCTGGCTCACCTTTCTGCAGAAGGCCAACAAGGCGGGGAACAAACCGGAGCACCTCCGGCCGATTGCTTTACTTGACCCGGTCGGTAAGGCGGTATCGGGACTACTCCGAAAGCAGCTCGACACCTACATCTTGCCCCACATGGAAGCTCGTCATCAATATGGCTTTCTACCTGGTAGATCGGTGCAACAAGCTCTTGGACACGCCTTTATCCACTGCAAGTCTGTGCGCTCGCTCAGCCAGGCACAGAACAGATCCCTCTACGACAAGTTTGCCGGTCACCAGGCAAAGGGATGTGCTGGCGGCATGCTGCTGAGCATCGACCTGACGCAGGCCTTCGACAGAGTGGGCCGGGACCTCCTGGAGCAGGCTCTGATTCACATTGGTGTCCCCCTCAGTCTTCGCTCCCTTTTGCTACGATGGGTTCACTCCGTTCGCTATGTAGTGCAGAAAGAAGGCCACGCGCAAACGTTCCCGACTTCCCGGGGGATCCGTCAGGGGTGCAGGCTATCACCTTCGTTATGGAACTGTGTGGTTGTTTACCTCACTCATCTTTTGGAGCAGCAGCTTGGGGTTGATTGGTGCAGGCAGCGCTTGATTGGATATGCCGATGACAACTTGTTCAAGTGGACGTTCCACTCTCGAGAGGATGTGGCGGCCGCGATCTCAGAAGCCACGGCCATCATCAACCTGTTGGAACAACAAGGCCTCACGGTGAGTAAGGACAAAACAGCTATTCTCCTCAAATTGGCGGGCCCTCAAGCCGAGGCCTATCGTCGGAAGATCGTTGTAAAACATGAGGGCAAGCACCATCTTCGGCTGAACCAGGACCTCACTTTACCCGTCAAGGCCCAGCACACATATCTTGGAGCCATCATCTCCTTTGGTCGGTTCGAAGAACTTAATGCCACGCACCGTTGCCAGGCAGGGATTGCCACTTACAACCGGCTTCGCCAGCATCTTCACTCTAAACGCACGTGGCCATTGGCGAAACGGCTGAGACTCTGGAAGGCCTATGTGCTACCCACGGTCTTCTACTCGCTCACTGCCTCGGGACTCACTGAGAAAGGTGCTTCATGCATTAGGGTTGCACTCCTCAGGCAACTTCGGGCCATAGCTGGACGGCCACGGCATTTGACACTGGAGTCTGACGCTCAATTCCTGCTCAACCTGGGAATGCCAACTCCTCTGCAGCTTCTCATCGACAGGCAACGGAACACTTTGGACCGAACGGAGCAGCTTCGCGCCAAGCTTTCCCCCGGCGACTTCAGGCTCGATGCCGCGCTGCTGGCCCATGAAACTGAGGTGTTACACGGCTTACAGGAACTGGCGGCTGACTCCTCCAACACGGGGGCCACCGATGATTTGCCCTGTCCTGATTGTGGCGAACGCTTCCCCACGGCAGCATCACTCCGTCAACATCGTGCCAAGGTCCACCGCAGTGGCGAGAACAAGGCCAAGGGTGAGAGCTTCGATCGGCTACTTCATGGTAAGGACGGCCTCCCGCAGTGCATCAATTGCGGGCACAAGTTCGGCACATGGGAGGAATTACAGCGACATGTGCAACTTGGACGATGCCAAGCCCCCGAGCGAGCTGGCTATGATGACGTACACCCCCCACTACTTGCCAAGGTCCTTGCTGATGAAATCGTGTTTCCCGAGGTCATGCTCAACCCCCCGAATGACGACCTCAAAAAGGAGCTCCTCGAGCGGTGTGCGTTGTGCAGGCAATGGTTGCCCAATGAGAATTATATGAAGGTCCACTACGGCCGCGTCCACAAGGACGAATGGAAGGCGCACAGTTCTCGTTTGCGAGTGTGGTGCACCAACAACCTTGCCCCCATCAAAGGGACATGTCAGTGGTGCGGACACAAGGCCCAACAAGGCAGGGATCATCGTGCCACATGCCCGGCCTTGTTTCAGTTGTTAATGTCATGGTTCGTTAATGGAGGTCCCAAGGATGACGCTGACATGACGGCGCCGAGCGATGAGCCTTATCCTTCAGCTGAGGAGGTAAAACCAATGCTCGGTACATGTCAGATCTGTCGTGCAGACCTTTCCAAACAGCGTTACAAAACGCACATGCGACGCCAGCACAGTGAGCTTTGGCGTGACATGCAGCCTAAAGTGCAACTTCTTTGTGCAGCGTGGGTGGGCTCAGTTTCGATTCCTTGCTCTCTGTGTGGGGCCAAATCCAGCAAGAAGGCCGAGCACGTGCACACATGTGTTCCTCTACTGCAGCATGCACTCCAAATCTGCATGAGGCATGACCTACGATGCGGAGATTCAGGATGTGTTCGCCAACTGCCTGCCGGCATTGGCGAACCTCAAGGCGGGATCTCTCGAGGAAGTGCCGGAGCGGGAGACAGAGGACCTCGACATGCCCAACCGGGGCAAACGTTCGAGGCCAGAGCCGATGGGAGACAAGACGCTCCACAGATCACAGTTGGGCAAGGGCAAAGGGGGCCAACGGGGCAGCGATGCAAAGAACAGGGGAAGCTGGAACAATTGGGAGCGCGACGACTGGGATTACCACAGTTGGCGGCCGCAGCACCGTGCGGATCTCGAGAGGCTGATGGAAGCTTTGTGTCGGCTGACCCTGAAGCAAGAGGAAGAGTTGCAGCTTCTTCGAACGGAGAAGCAATTCCTGCTGCATCTGGAGTCTGGACCTCAGGGAATGCTCACCCCCTTATGGAAGGTGGCCCAAGTGTGGAAAGCAGGCAAAGACAAAACTCCACCAACCGTGACCAGCTCGTTACGTGTGGCCTTGATCAAGTGTGTCCTCGCGGAGTGGATGGCGAGGCTGGACATCATGACCAAGGATGCGGAGACGGTCAAGAAGATGGAGGCACAGGGATGGGTGAAAGTGCAGGGCGTAGACGAGCTGCACTGGAACTTTCAGCAATGGAACCAGCAAACCCGACAGCTGGAGCTGGATCCGAGCAAACCACCCGTGGGCCACTCAACGATATTGCGGGCAGCGACCAACCTCCAGGCGTTGGTGAATTCCGAGACCGAACGGCTCATTCACCGATTTCACTCCACCCGAAAGCTCACCGAATTGGTCATGGGCGACACGATGCCTTTCATCCTGTCGGTGGCGATGAGAGGAACCAAGGCACAACAAGCCCACGACATCCTGAGCGACCTGACGGGCAGTGCAGCTTTGAGAACCGTGGGAGTGCGCATTCGGGGCGAGCGGGTGAACCTACAGCCATTGGCACAGCAGATTGCCAAAATGGCGGCCGCGCTACGCCGCTGAAGGCTGCAGGGCTCTTAGCTACACCGTTCACGTTGCACGATCGGCATGGCTATATGGTGGCATGCATGATAGCATGGCTTATGGCAGGAGCCGACCATTATGACATCGAGTTCATAGCAGGAACCCATGCACATGCCGTCAAATCCTTCGTTGCATTGGGCGCCTCTTTCAGGCTGGCATCCTCACTTCCGTGGCGATCCTCGTTACAAGGTTGGGATCCTAAGAAGGCCGATGTTTTGCGGTGGCTCCAACACATATTACCCAAGGCTGCCTCACCGGCCCTGAAAGGCAGATGGGAGGCTAGAACCTCTCATCACGGCGTTTGCACTTGTACTCATGCTGGTGACACCTGGCTCCCGCTATGCCTGCAGGCTACAATCAATGATGATACATGCGATCTGGATTTGTCTGCTCTTTTCTCAGATTGGCGAATCCAGGACGATCGTTGTGCTCTTGTACAAGCTCCGCAACTGCTTTGTGTCATGTCCCCCAGGTGGCTCAACAGTGCAGCGGGTGAGTGGCGACTGATTAAGGAAGGCAAAGCGCCAACCACAGTTCAGGTGCCGTGCTTCAGTGCGGAGGGTACTACAACGCATGCCGTGACATATCACATAATATCTGTGGTATTGTGCTCTGCTTCCGATGGTCATTTCGGCGCTCGTTACTGGACGAGCCTCAAAAAGACTGGATGGCATACGCATACCAATGGTAAGAGTGCCAAAGCTGTCAAGCTCAGTGATACGACCATTCATGCTCGAGATTGTGATGCAGTCTTTCTTCGCAGAGTCTGGGAGAGTGCCGAGGGCGGCACTGCATGAAGCGACATGTACATCTATGATGCTTTCATTTTTTGCTTACTGTCTGAGCCCGCTGAACCTCGGTAAAAACCGTTAGTTGTACAGTGTACTTCTTTGTCATTGTCGCATATGCCTTTCTAGATCCTTGACTCGAGCTTTGTACTTAGTTTTCTGTAGCGTGCACGTCGCTGTACATTCGTGTCGGGCGTGCAGGCACTCGCTCTTGTGCTTCGGCACGGAGTGCCCTAGCAACTTGAAGTTGCCGGCACACAACAACTACCGTGTGCTCGCTTAGGGCCTACGCGAGGCGTTGACCAACGACAGCGCTGCGGGTGAAGGAAAAGTGGCATCAACGCAGCCTTTCATTCCCTTGATCGCCTGCGTTTGCACGACGTCGACTTCTTCATTACCTTGTGCCGTTTCATTTGCACTGCTGTAGACGAGAAAGGAGTAGTTGTGGTGTTCCTCAGAAACGGAGAACAACTTCGAGGGAAACTCAGCCCGGATTTTGGGCGAGACTGCGCATGGGTAGGGCGGTGTCTCGATTTGGAAAAGGCTTATAAGCAGGTCCCTTTGGCGTCACAGAGCCTTAGGCTGGCGGTACTCCTCGTTCGGGAGCCGCTCACGAATGCTTTTCGCTTCTTCGTCAGTAACTCCCTGCCGTTCGGGGCATGCGCGGCTGTATACAGCTTTAACCGCATTAGTCGTAGCTTACTTCATCTTGCAACCACTCTTTGTGGTGTTATTGGCGGCGTGTTTTATGATGATTTTCCCTTAATTGAACCGGCACTGACCGCCAGGCTATGCTCTGTTTCAATTGAGGCGCTGCTTGACACTCTCGGGTGGAGGTACAGCCGTGACAGCGATAAGGACAAGCCGTTCGCAAGCCAGTTCAACTTGTTGGGGGTCCAGCTTTCTCTTGACTCTCTTCATCTTGGCAGCATCGCCCTGGAGAACAAACCATCGAGAGTTGCAAAGCTTCTGCTAGTCGCACAACAGATGTGCGCAAGTGGCGAACTCTCGCGAGCAGAGGCCATGTCTTTGCAGGGGCAGCTCAACTTCATGGTCGGCTTTGCGTCAGGTAGATCACTCAAGCTTGTTTGCCGTGCACTTTCGAACCTAGTCTACTCCAACCGAGCCTGGACGCGAGACGAGATCAGGCAACTGGGAGGTTACCTTGAGTGTTGTCTCGAGGCTCTTGTGCCAAAGTCGATGTGCTTGAAAGGGGGCTCACGGCCCCTCGTGATTTTCACTGACGCCGCCTATGAGCAAGGGGTTGCTACTTGGGGTTTAGTGGTTCTTGATCCCGACTCGGGTAGGCGCGAAGTTGCTGGGGGTCAAATCCCTTCTTCCTTGATTGATCTGTGGCACCAGGACACAGAGGATCAGATTATCGCTCAGGCCGAAGCGTTTGCTATGGTGATTGCAAGGGATTATGCGGCAACCTTCGCAAAGGGCCGTAGGGCCTTTTTCTTCGTTGATAACGAGTCCGCACGATATTGCATGATCCGCGGTAGCAGCCCCGTGAGAGCGCTATTGGCGCTGGCTCACGCGTTTTATGCAAGCGAGTGCAGAGACCAACTTATCACTTGGATTGAGCGTGTGCCATCGGCATCTAACGTCGCAGACCTTCCCAGTCGCGGCGAGTGTGCGGCTGCAGCCAGGATGGTAGGAGGGCGTGTCATCAACATTGACAGTATTGTGAAAATCGCTGCTCAGCGGTGCTCGGATACCAGCGCTCTGCCTTGGAGCCTCTTGGCGTGCCACTTCAAGGGCCCTGTTCCCGCCTTTCACTTCTCGTGAGCTTCGGACGTCTGCAAAGGGGGGCAAACGGGTCCGGTGGTGCCCTTGAGATTCGTCTCGTTTGCGAGGGCGTTGTTACCACGGACGTAGGCGGTTTGCATGCTTTTGGATCACCCCTGTTCCGTTGCTCGCGCAAAAAGAAGACTGTCCGAGTGTTTGCACAACTCCTTGAGTGATGAGCATATTCTTGCGAATAAGTTTGATGTTCTTATGATTGCAAATTTTGCTCGTCTCACATATTGCGAACATACTGCGGGACATATTCCGCATACGTTTTCCCTTCTAGATATAGGCAGTTTTGTAAATCACGAAGACGACTATTTCACGAATGTGATCATGTTGTCTTTGATTTATAGTCGCTAACACAGCGACGCAAAACTGCCAAAGTACTTTTGTGCTCTCACGTCGAACATTTTGCATGTTGTGAGGCATTGACTTTCTTCCTCACGTTGCCCTAACCATCGCACGCTTGAAAAAACACTGGATTTCGCTTGAAAATACCAATCGATTCTGCTGCGCTTGAAAATACCATGTGCGCTTGGCATTTTCTATCGGACCCGCTAGGAATCGGTTGGGATGCTATTTTCTCCGCTAGGTTCTCCGCTAGGTTTTTTTTTATCATCGATTCCGCAAGGTTTTTCATCAACGATTTCGCTTGGTTTCCCGTGCCCAGCACACCAAAAACATCGAGCCCAACCCGGAATTCTGAAGCACACAGGTCTTCACAGGTTTTCACAGAATTTCACAGGTTTTCACAGAATTTCACAGATCTTCACAGATTAGTCTGTGAAGATCTGTGAAGATCTGTGAAATTCTGTGAAGATCTGTGAAATTCTGTGAAGATCTGTGAAAACCTGTGAAGATCTGTGAAAACCTGTGAAACCAGAAATCGCAGGCTTCAAGCCCGGTCAAACACCCGTGCTCCTGAATGCTCCGCTTGGTTTTTGCTCTATGCTGCTATTGGTTCCCCGCTAGGTTTTTGTTTCGCTTGGTTTTCGCAGAAAACTAGTGGATCCGCTTGAAAATATCAATCGGCCCAATCCGCTTGAAACTGCCAATCGAATCCGTTTTTTTCTGTCGGCCGATGGATAGGGTGAGCTGTCATGCTGTGTGAGTTGGCGATCTCGAGGAGCGAATGATTCATTTTGGAAAAGTAGTCGGCGTCCTTTTTAGGTATTTGAACTGCTTTTAATTTGATGGAAGTTTGACTGTCTCGTGCATCTGTCGGTGTATCCAACTTCTGATGATTGATTCAAGCCGGCAGTTGTGGCTCCGGAGACAGCTGCAACATTGAACGTTTTCCCGCCCACCCACCCTGGGGGGGCAAACGGGTCCGGTGGTGCCCTTGAGATTCGTCTCGTTTGCGAGGGCGTTGTTACCACGGACGTAGGCGGTTTGCATGCTTTTGGATCACCCCTGTTCCGTTGCTCGCGCAAAAAGAAGACTGTCCGAGTGTTTGCACAACTCCTTGAGTGATGAGCATATTCTTGCGAATAAGTTTGATGTTCTTATGATTGCAAATTTTGCTCGTCTCACATATTGCGAACATACTGCGGGACATATTCCGCATACGTTTTCCCTTCTAGATATAGGCAGTTTTGTAAATCACGAAGACGAGAAAAGGGATCAAGTCGAGCGCAGCTCGGTCCGAGACTCGGCGATCCCGAAGACCTGGAGGTTCGTCGCATGGGAGTTTGCGTTGCAGTCTGGCAGCGAAAACCTTCCTTCCTGCAAACCCCCCGCCGTCCGTCACCTCTATGCCCGAGCCCCGAACCCCAGGAAATTCGGGTCTCGACTGCCGCATTGAATCTTGCCGGAGCAAATCCGGCCGACGCCGGCCGCCTGGTGCTCGGGCGCGAGACGCGAAAAGCGTTCGAGTGCGCTTCGCCACGTCCGGCCGAATCTCGACTCTGTGACCAGGCGAAGCTGAAGTTTCGAACGAGAACAGCACGTGCCTCTCAGTCGACTCTCGCTCTAGCAGATCCTCCCGCCCACGACTGTCGGGTGCTCAGGCTAGAAAATAAAGGAGCAGTGTCGCTGCCGCAGTGTCCGCACGCGTCTCGCAGGGTCTCGGCTCTATGGCCAGACCAAGCTGAAGTAAAAATAAGTCGCTGCATGTAGAAACAACAACAGCACGTGCACCCGGAGGTGGCAGGTCTCGACAAGCACGCATGTACGGCCAAGAGTGCGTGCAGTGAGTAGACTCCCCGCGGGATTTCGTCCACGCACATCGCTGCGATGTCCTGGCACGTCTGTTTCAGATTGCTGGACGGTGGCTTGTTTGACATCGATCTCTCTGGTCGCCCTGTAAGCCAGGCCACACTTCGGGACTTCGCGACTTGGCTGGAATCGGAATTGCAGAGACGACGCCTGACCCGCGACGGTGGACTCTGGCAGCAC